TTGGTGATCCACTGTCTGGCACTGTGTTCAAAACCACAGACCAAGGCAGAGCGGCGGAGAGAGGAAGAGGGAGAAGGGCAATCTGGATTGGAGTTTGGTCAATCTTCAAACGTTTTTCCAGGGTGCTTACATGGTCTGATCAAAAGCCCCCCTCTGGCATGGACCCTTGTAGCCACAAGGGGAGGCCTCTGATGCCTCTGCCATCATTTCCCTCCGGCATATCCCTCACCTCAAATCCCCAGCTCTCTTAGTTTTAGGAACCATAACATAAAACATACATGTAGTTGGAGTCTTAACAGAGAACAAATGATGTTAGTGATGTGCTTTTTGAAACCGATCACTCTTTTATGTGAACTGTTGAATCGAGCCTCCGTTTGAGACCTGCTCTTTGATGATGGCTTTTCTTGTGTTTTTATTCATACTGCCAATGTTTTTTTTTTTTTCATCTTTCATTAACTGTGCTGTTGTTCAACCAATCAGATGCGATGACAGAACCAGAATTACAAAAATCATTATTTGTTTTGGTTTATCAAGGGGCAACCGAAACCAACCTACTCCCATGTTGAAAATGTAATTAATTACCATTTAAACCTAATAACTGGTCATGTCACCCACAGAAACAACCACTTCCATCAAGCATTTGCAGTAACTGGCAGTAGGTTTTTTACATTGATGTGGTGTTTTACTGCAGCTGTACTAGATTGTTTTCATCATGGCCTGTTAAAAGTTACGCAACAGCAGCATCTCAAACTGTTGAAAATTAGACTTTGACTAGACCACTCCAAAAGCTTCTTTTTTGTTTCCTTTTGAGCCATTTAAAGTTGAACTTGGTAGTGTGCTTAAAAATCTCCCTACCCCCTCTTTTTTAAAATTGATTGTTTTGCATAGAAAATTACATATCTTTCTCTTTCTCTCAAGTTGGACCTTTCCCTTCCAGTTTATTTCAAAAATTACCTAGACTAATACTAAAGCAAGTGTCTCAACAGAATACTTGCAAACGGCTGAAGCAGCTTTGCGATGTTTGAAGAAATGTCATATTTAGTGGCTTCATGCATCAGCTCTAAAAATATGAACATTTTTATGTAAGATTGGTTTTATGATTTGCTCAGTAAGCCTCACACTGAATTTAATCGAGAATATTACGAATTATTAATCAGACTGAAATTGTCTCGCACTTTGCAGGTTTTAAAGGTAACCAGAGAACTTTGGTCTAAGCATAATAATCTATACAAACACAAAGTGAAAACAGGTGGATGTCGAATGCCTATTGATGCACGGGACAAGTGATTTCATGGGACCACTGGTGTTGCTTTGCAATTTCATAACCGAATTTGAAATGCTCCCTTTTAAATGATGTTTTAATACAGGAGTCCAAATAAAGCAAAAACAAAATCTGAAAACAGTGCTCCAGCTCCAGGATTTGCCTCCCACTCTTTGCCGCCTGAGGACACTTATTTCTGTTCTCCGTTATCTCCCACCATCACTGCTGTGTTTGGATTTATGTTTGTACATGAAGGATATCAAATCCCACATGCAGCGTGAATCTAAGCACCAGTTGCCTACTGTGTGTTTGTGCAATTTGTTTAAATATCTATAATTCAACATGGTGTCATCTTCTCTTTTTTTGAAACCGTTAAATACAACCCATGGACTCCCTCGAGTAATGTAGACAGCTTTTCCAACACTCTCATCTATCTTCACCTTTTTTCCCCCTCCCATGCTGCTGGAAGAGAGGAGCTGCCTAATAGCTGCAGAGTTGGAATGGGGGACCGAGTCGGACCGGACTGAACCAAAGGGCAACTCTCTGGGGCTGCAGGGTTTCTTTCAATGCATTGTTTTTCCTTTAATAGAGGGCGAGTGTGATTGTCTGGAAAGTATTACCTGGTTGCAGCGTTCTCATCTCGTCTGACATGTAATCCAGGGACACACAGGGCAAACTTTGTCCAGGTTGTTCTTCTAAAGCACGCTAAGCGTTAGAGTAAAGTTAGACTGAAGAAAATTTTATTTTTTAGGTAGCTGCAGGGCTGGGCGATATGGCTTAAAATTAAATCTCAGATGTTTTTCATGCCAGATCCAATTTCCAATTATTTTTGCTTGCTTTGTTTTCAAGGTGACAGGTTATGAGAATTTTTATTTATGAAAATATAGTCACAATATTAATAGAATAGTGACACAATTTTACCAGAAAGACATTTTGAAATTATAAGAAAACAAAAAGTTGTTGTAATGACAGAAAAGCTTGGATAATATTGTTTTGCTATTTTTTCTTTTGTTGGAGTTATAAAATTACTACTTCATTCTCCATATATTACGACTTTATTTTGGTAAAAATAAAGTTATTATTTATCACATTATTTAGTCTATATTCTTATCCAAAAAAAAAAAAAAAGCCTTACTCTTATACTTTGTTGTGGAGTTGATTAGATTTCAAGATCCAAATAAATAAAAACTGTAAAACGTGCTTGAGAAACAAGCACGTTTGAGTGTGTCATCTTGACATCGCTCCCAACTACGGAAACCCAAGGAGTGCAAAATCCAGATTTCCAAAAATTAAATCTTCAAACACCAAAGAATTTATTAATTGATTAAAATCAACTCATCACCCAGCCATAGTCAATAGTTATGAGACAAAATGTGAGTAGATTCAGCTGTTTTTACTTCTTCTCCAGGTATTAGTTTTTTATTTAAGCAGATACTATACCTGCAGAGGAGGGGATTTGTTGTTAAAACATTCCCACTGCACCAGTTGTGCTTGTGGCCAAAATGTGAATTGAGAGACCTCCCGACAGTAGTGAGAGAATGTGTGATAAAGATCTGATTCAGACGAACTGCGGGCGGGGAGGTCGGGTTATCTCATGATCCCTTGCGGCGGCCTGCTTGGACACATATCACAGCGTGCAGCTCTGTTATGGCCTGACGCTGACATGCTTTATGGACCAGCATATTTGCTGAGGTATCCCTCCACGCTGCAGTGTCAGTAACCAGACGTAGACGGCCCCGGCCCCCGCGTCCGTCCTCCTTCCTCCCCACATATGGGTTTCACATATGTTCTGTCAGTGACTCCCGGATCGGTCCCCCCGGGTCAGACGCAGGTCAAACACGGAAGGCTTGACCAGTTTGAGTTCTTCCACTCAAGCGGTCAATCTCTAGGGCCGACGGTTAACCTGCCTCACTTTTCTCCCCCCTTACATGACTATCTAATGGCTTTGACACACATTCCCTGCCTCACAAACAAACAAGAGGCTGTGTGTGTGTGTGTGTGTGTGTGTGTGCACACATCAGCTCCCAAACCTCTTCACCCTCCCAGTTTGACAGACATATGACCCTGACTTTCCCCCTCTTGAGTTATTTTTTAGTGAGGCAGCCTGCTCTTTGGGGATGTCACTATCCGAATAGACAGATGAATGTTGGGGTGGAGAGAGGCAGACGGGAATGGACAGATGATAGAGACATCATCTTTGATGGTTGGGGGAGGGATCTGTGACATCTGACATCATGGAGACATCTCTCGCGCCCCACATCAATAAACCTGCACCCTCCCCGTTAAAATGTGCTGTTGTGGCTACATATTTGGTCAACGTGATTTAATGTGAAGAAACAGTACCCGATATGCGACGTATTGCTCCATTTTTCCACTGTTTCTCCAGGAAGGTGGTCTTGGCTTGAAGTTCAAAGTCCTAGTGAGGGAATTCATCATTCATCAGAAGAAAGAGGAAAGGAAAACACAGCTAAGGTTTCACAATGGCTTAATTGTATCAGCAATTAATCCCTCAAAGTTTCTGTAACTAAAGGAACTACAAATACTCCCAGAGGACTCCTTTGAACTCATAAATAAATAATCCTCCAAGCTGTCGCACATGTTTCATACTTACAAATCAGTTTAACAAATATAAAGATTCATAAATTTTAGTTGGTATAAAACTAATCTTACCTCTGCGTATCTTATTTGGGTTTCATGTGTAGAAAACGATAAAAAAAACACATTTCAAAAATGTTTTTATAAATAAAAATCTAAAGTGATGGGAATTAATATTTGGTTCCGATGAATCCAGACTTTCTAGAACCACCGTTTGCAGTAATTAGAGCTGTGCTTTGGGGCATTGCAAATGGATTACATTTCTGCTGTGCTTCTCCAGTCATCGGAGCTGAATTCACCCAGTTGAACTAACAAATTCACACTGGTACACGCTGCAAAACCTTGACTGCAAAATGTGCTCTTCCAATAGAGCCACACTTGCCATAACACAGGGCAAATACAGTCTGATATTTGAGAAAATTATTTTGAATCTGCAAAAGACTTCATAGTCAGCAAACAGCCAATACAAGTTGTTCATATTTGTAAAGTGGAAGAAAATGATTGGTAGTTTTCACCATTTGTATTTGTATTCAGCCCTGTTGGTCAGATTTGTAGAACTTCTTTGGGATTTTTTCCTCATCAACTTCTAACCATGGCAGACTTGAAGTTTTGCTTATTGTTTTTTGTGAAACCGCTTAGTTGGACTGGATGGGAAGCACCTGTGACCATTTTTAAGTTTTCCTATGGATTCTCCTTTGGATTTATGTCTTGAGTTTGACTGGGCCTTTCATAGAAAGAGCAGGACCAACCACCATCCCTCCCACCGCTGGAAAAACAACATCCGTCATATGGGTCATTTTTCTTTCAGTTCAAAGTTATGTTCTACATTGTGTTAATCTTAGTACAGTACATCGATTTTATTTATTTTTCCTCAGTGTTACCGTGACAAAATTTAAAGTAGTTAAATAGGTGTGAATAATCTTTCAAGGCACCATACTTCCAATCAGTCTTCATGCAGAATTTTCATCTAACAGGATCTCAGAGTCGGTCAATGATGAACAATGTTGACAAATGTTTTGTGACTCTCGTCTGTCATTCTTGTCAATCTCTGCTCGTCTGTTTTCGTGTTTCTTGTTGTGACATGGATATAAATACCTCTGCCTGACCTGTTTGTCTTCTCTTGTTTTATTTTTCTTCTTCTTAGATTCGAGTCGATGGTCCTCCTCATGGTGGCGTCCAGTATGAGACGATCTCGGTCATAAAGGACGGCAGCCCCATCCTCAGAGACATGGCCTTCTCTCTGGACCGCAACTTCCTCTACGTCATGTCTGATAGACAGGTAGGCATGAGTTGTTTTTTTTATGCCTTTTTAAACCTTGTGCTCCCTAATTATACAAGCTATCCTAACAGGAGGACGGATGGCTTTTAATGCGTTTTGTGTGTGCGTATGCAGATGCTTAAATGTCAGGGAGAGTCTGTGTGGCTCCAGTAGGACCCAGGATGGCTCACCTCCGTACATTACCAAATCCACCAGCTCCAGTTGGCTATAAATAACCTGTGTGGCACAGCAGGAGGTTGGGGGGGGGGAGGGTTATTCTGACAGCTTTTGATAATGAAGGAGAATGAGGGCAGGGACAAAGAAAGAAATAAAGAGACACGAAAAGTAAGAATGAGAATAAGGGAGATGAAGGACTCCTTCCTCTGGCTGACTGTGGTGAGAGAGAGAGTAATGAGAAAAAGACGGACAGCTGGGGGAGTGCATGACTTAGAGTAAAGGGAGGAACAGAGAGTGCAAGGTCATCCTTTCTTGTTCCTGATGAAGTGACACAGCATCGAAGGGCGAGAAAGGAAGCGACCGATAGCCATCAGTACAGCCGACGCGACGCACGCCACAGGTAGAAAGGAAGGGGCCAGACACCGGTGGGAGGGGGGCGACGCAAGGACGGCGCGGAGGTCGGGCAATAAAAGCGGAAAAGGAGATATTTGCAGAGAAAAGACATGACAAGAGGAGGAGAAGTGAGAAGGCCGCAGAGAACAGAAGCAGCTGCAGGCGACTCGGTGGCGCTGCCGCCCCGGAGACGGGCGACGTGCGAGGCCGACGGTGTCAACTGATGAATTACCATCCTCTCTCCTTATCTGCTCTTTGAACACGGTCAACAACTGCCTGGCCACCGCGCACAGGTGTGAACTTATACAGAGCAGGAGTTTTTATTTCCTTTATGTTTTGTCTTCAGTTTGACAAAGACTTTTGGTGGCAAGTTTAAAAATATTATTTTCATTTGAAAAAGTGAAAAGCAGATCCATTCATTACACATATTGAGATATGTTTGATACGTTTATTTTTGTTCATCTTGATCATTGTGGCCTACAGTTAATGGAACTCCAAAATTCAGTTTCTTAGAACATACAGAAGGAAATAGATTTGTAAATCTTCTTGAGGAATGTGGGGTATTCAGTACTTGAATGAAGTTGCTTTTTTCATGATTTTCATCGCTGAGAAAATCAGCCTGTGACACCATTGAGGTATAAAACCAAAAAGCCCAGGTTGCTTTTGATCCAGCCTTCAACTCATCAGGTTTGTTTGTGCCCCTTATCTTGCATCTGAAAATACTCCACAAATTCTCTATGGTGTTTAGGTCAGCTAGTTTGCCGGCCAATCAAGCACAGTGATGCTACGGTCATTAAATCAGATTCTCCTGGCAGAATGTGCAGGTGTGAAGTCCTGCTGGAAAAATAAATGAGCATCTTCATGAAACTGGTCAGCAGAGGGATACATAAAGTGCTCTAAAGTTTCTTGGACGTGATTAAAAGACAACAGAACAATGGAAGCAGACGGCACAGGTTACCCCACTTAGGATCAATGGACAGCTTGGAATGTAACAGTAATAACCAATGTTGTAGATACATGTGTGCAGGGATTGTTGAAGCAGTGAAATCCACATTTATTTACTTATTTATTTATGGGCTAGAATGGGCTTTGCTTCACAATTCTAATACCACAATTTTTCCTTCCACTCAACTTTCCATAAGTTGTACTCTTAGACACAGCTGTAGGCCAGCTCTTGAGCAGCAACATTTTACAGCTGACCCACATTCTGGAAGATGTCAGTGGCTGTTGGATGGGTGTAAGGTCTGCAGTCTTTGTAAGGTCTGTATTTTGTAACCATAAAATAATATTTGTGTATTAAAAGTAATATCTAAAAATGTAGTCATCTTATGTTGTATTTGTCCTAAGAAACTGAATTTTGAGTTTTATTGACTAAAAAGCCATATGCATTACAATTAACATAAAAAATGCATATGTGTCACTCTGCTTTAATTGAATCGATAGAATATATTGCATATTTTATTATGTTTATTGAGGCACCTTTTATGCAGTTTGCTTCCTTTCACTCAGTAATTTATAAGTTGCTCTGTATATTTTAGCCATGTACTTATAAACAATGAAACAGTCACATAAACGTATCATTTGACCCAGCAGGAATTTGGTACTTGAATCAAAAATCCCTTCAATTATTCTGGGAAAAATTAATATTTAAAGTCTCTGGTCTCTCATTTCATCAGAATTTATGCAACAAAATATTTAATTTGACAACTTGAATTTAATTACATCTTTTCAGATCACTAAGAGTCAGTTTCAATAAATAAATACCGGGCACAGTCAGAATATTGAAAACACAGAATTGGACAGATTGCACAAGTTAAGAAGAGTTTGTATGGAGTCTGAAATGACTTTCCCCATGTTTACTAAATCCTTTATTCCCACTTATTTCACAGATGAAACACACTTTTGATGTTGAGCTCATAACTGCTAGTCATCTGAATGAGAATTTATGTCTGTGGATGTTATTAGTATTCAGCTTGTAGACTCTTCTGTCTCTCTCTGCAGGGGTTAGGGAGGATCGAAGCAGACGCACTCGCACACACACTCACACACACACACACACACACACGTTCAGCTGCTTTGGAGATGTTGCCTTGAATGTTTAACGATACAGTTCGATAGTCACACCTGACAGATTGGCTGAATTGGGATTCAGTTCTGCTTTTTCTGTTTTACTATGGGATTCTTTGACTCTGCAGCAACAGTTTTTTTTTTTTTTTTTCAGATTTGATACTGCTCTCTCTCTGCTTGATCTGAACAACTGAAATCTAAGGACATGCATTAAAGATCTGCGATGCTATCCGCCGTACATTACACAGCAGATACCTTAAACAAGCCCTGCTGCACTCAGTGGGAGACATCTATTTGACCTTTATCTCAACATGGGCTTAAATGTCACCCCCAATCACACATCCAGAGTTATCACGGGATATATCTTGTCTAAGGTCCGTTTGTTCCCGTGAGTCTGACTGATGCAGGCTGAGGCCAAGCACATGGCGTTGGGAGACGGCGGAGAACAAAGGAGGGATGATATCAAACAGGAACCGAGGCAGATTTGGCTCCAGTTGCGTTTCCGACTTGGAATAACAAAGAAGCCCTCTGTGTTTGGCACAGTGGGAAAGGGAGCGAACAGAAGAGAGGGGGACATGAGGCTGGAGGAGAGAAACGGAAATCGAGGAAGTGAGCGTAATATTTGCAAAGCAAGGCCACACTGGTGAACTTGGGCTCGTTCTCGCTTCTGCCCTCACACCTGCCAGGTTCAGAATCTTTGTGATTTTAAATATACAAACAAGCAGTCAAAGCACAAACGCAAAAATACTTTATTTGCATATAGGTGCTGCAGCCAAGAGTTCACCAGCTCCACCAGACACGCATGGAAGAAAAATTGGCCTTTTTAGGCAACGCATACATCCAAGCATCTGTCCTCCATTCAGTATTCAAATGGTGTTTGCCTGATGCTTTTGGGGTAATTCCTCAAAAATGTGCTTGTATTGCTCATTAACATAGCTCATGCAGATTAGACTCAACAGGCATCCTTCTTTTATCTGGTTCTCATTTGTTACTTCCTTATATTCAAATAAAGGATGCTGTTCTTCCTGTTTTCTACTCACCCCATCCTGCTGTCATGTTAAACGGTGCTTTGCTTAGTAGGTGTAACGACCATGCCAGCAGTAATATTAATGACAGCCTGAGAATGGCGCGATGTGAGGGCAGCGCAGTGGAACTGATGAAAAGACCTGGCGGACTTGTTTCCTCTTCTCCATCAGCAGCATCAGTGTTGTGTATGTGGGGCTTGTCCTGCTGTAAGGTGCTGGATCATCACTCACAGTTTTGACACGTCTTAGTAAAGAGGATTTTCTTATGCTGAGGACTACAGGTGCATATTTCCTGTGACACCGCAGGGAAAATATTGTGACTACTTAAACTTTTTTTTTTTACACGCAGCAAACTATTTCAAATATTTTATTGGAATTTTATATCAAAGTCGTGCATAATTGTGAAAGCAAAATGTGACATGGCTTTCAAGCATATACTCTGCTAATAGAAATGTGAGAAGTGTGGCCTTTCACACGTTTGGTCTGTCACCTACTTGGCTTGTGACTAATTTCAGATGGAAACAATCTTGCTTTGGAGAGGCAAGGTTTTTCTTGTTTCTTTTGTGAAGCAACTTGTTTGATTTGCTTCTTGATTTTCATGCCGTTTCTTCTACTCTAAAAACCAAATGTGATCTACTTTATCAAAAAACAGATAACATGGAAGTTTGTGGTTGTGCTGGGAGGAGATTTTGATACACAGTGCATTTAACAGGATTTAAATTCTGGTTGTTCTCTCTTTTTGGAACATGTATTTTTTAACATTGATCCAGGGCGCTTGGATCTCCACTGACATATTAATATTTCAGATTCAGCTAAAGTTCAGATGCAGTGGGATTAGTTGCAAACATTTTACAGCAAATACCAAGAAAGTGTATGAGGATAAGGATAACTCTGCTTATAAAGATGCACACGCTGAAGGTGAAAGGTGTTTAGCTTACATGAGCTCGTTTGCAGGCCATGATCAAATCCCTACACAAGTGCTGTAAATAAGTGGCTGAGCAGGAGATTTTCCCTTTAAAGAGCCAAGACAGAGAAAAATAAATTTTGACAAATAGTGTCTTGTTTTTATTGGTAGGCGTCCATTAATTCCTGATCTTGATCCTGAAAGACTATTTTTGTTGACATGTTTCCTCAAATTGTTAATTTCAAATTAGCTACCAGATGCGTCTGGTTTTATTTGGAATTTTCTAAAGGGAGGACTGAAAACGTTTTTGCTTTGTCAGCTTCACTTCCTGTAAATGGTCTGTTGGTCACCTTTCAGTGAAAAGGAGACATTTCTTTTCAAAATCTGTTGCATCGCTTGTATGCAGGTTTTGTAAAAAGTCAACAGGATTCCAATTTTCTATGCACATTCTTGTC